ATTTTTTGATTTATTGTAGAGATGAGGTTTCTCCAAGTTGCCCAGGCGGGTCTCGAACCCTCGGGCTCAGGCAATCCACTCACCTCAGCCTCCCAAGGTGCGGGATTACAGGCAGAGCCACCGAGCCTGGCTTTTTTTCTTTATAAATTACCCAATTTTAGGTTATTCTGTTATAAGCAACAGAAAACCGACAAAGACATTGCTCAGTGCAAGCCTCAAAGTGGGGAGTGGGGCATGTTGACTTTGTACAAGGGATGATCGTCATTGATGGAGGGAGTTGGATTCCACAGGGAAAAGAAGAGGCGAAAGCAGGACTGTGTTGTAGTTTTCTTACTTCTGGAACTGAGGTCCAGATCTGAGAGAGTTTAACTTGAGTCTGAGATAGAAACTGCAGAGACATAGAGAATAGAGACATATGTGGAAATTGATTAAAGAAAGGCTAAAGTTTTGCTGAAGACCAAGTGTCAGGAAGGATATAATACCAGGGATGTGGTAGCAGTGAGCATTTATCTTTGAATTTTTGACAGAATCTGCAGGATTTAGTGCAGAAAAATAAATGAGGGAAAATCACACATGTGACAGTGGCCTACAGGCAATGACAGATGAAGAAACATACTGAGGAATGGAGGTTGGTATTCACACCAAATACTGGAGACCGGGAGTCTATGATGCTACAGGTCTAGTGGGTATGTGGCCCTAAGGAAGCCTGGAAGGAGACATTTTTGCCCCTTGTAGGGGTCACCCTAATTCAGTTTCATTTTGGGCTTCTGTAGGCAAGCCCCTTAGGAAGAGGCATGGCACTATTCTGAGTTTTTTGCCAAATGACTACAATTAATTCAATGAATTGCAAACATTAGGAACTCTTAGAGGGGCATGTGTTTTATGCATCAGCGGCTCTGCCAAGTATCTCATCAACACTAGTTGTCAATGTCCTATACCTGGAATGGAGACTCGGACCTGCCTGGTTTCTGCTGAGGATTCTGGCTTTTCTCTTTCTAATAACAGGATGGCAGGCACCTTGAAGCCTGCAGCCACAGGCCTTGATCCTCTGTGTGCTCTTCTTTACCCACAGAGGCCAGAGGCCCCTCTCTCCTCTCTGGGATCCTAAGGGAGTTGGGAACCAGTGACCCTTTTGTCGGGTTTGGCAGCCTTTCTGAGGGTTTCCCTTCAGGTACTGAGTCTGTGGGGCTCTGGTGGAGGCTTGTGTCTAGGAATGTGAGGACCTTTCCTGTTGGAAGCCAGTCAAGGAGTTCTTTGAGAAGACGGCCCTTCAGGACTTCATGAAGTGGGCTCTTTAGCAATTCAATGTAGAATTTTGTAGAACGGACAGAGAACTTTACAAGTGATCATTTGGTGTGTGGATGGCTTTTAAACAGCCAGCCTCTTTTGGAGTGTACTCTGGGACCATAAATTCTAATTAAAAGGAAGAGTTTGTTTTCTTCCTCTGATATTTGCCTCTTTCAGTGAAGACAAGGAAATTAAATACTTGCCACCTGTAATAAGTGCTTGTTTGAAGGATGGCATATAGAAGATGTCGAATACATTTTAACTGGAATGAATTTGTTGGCTGAAAGAATAAAATAAAGTGCTAAATACCCAGACCTCATAGCAAAAGCCAGACTCTCCCCTTGGCAACTGTTTACTTTTCCCCATGCTCCTCCCCATCATCCCCTTCTTATCTTATAGAATTCCTCTAAATTTAGAACTGCTATTTTCTCCTGTCTTACATTTATTATGGGTGATCAATGCCAGGAGCTTTGAAGGCTTAGCTTTCTCCTGCCTTGAGTACTTTTCCTTCCTGGTTGATCTTTATTTATTCTGACTACAGTAAAACTCTGAAGTTAATGAATCCACATTAATTGATTCTGTGGACTACCTTACATATAGACATGAGGCAGAACCGCATCTGTGTGCATTTGGCAGTAGTTGTGGTTTTCTAGCTTTGAGAAATTCTAGAAAGCATCCTTTGCCTTTTGTTTTTGACAAAGTCAAAATTTGCTGATGAATGATCAATGACTAGAACATTAACCAATATCCTAGACCCTGTGTCATTACTTTGTGAACCAAATAAATGAATGAAAAAAACCAAAGCAAGATGATTTTTCTGTGTCAGAGAACTAAAAGAAAGCTTTATTGCATTTTATTTTGTCTCAAAAAGTATGTTAGCACTTAATATTTCTTTGTCTTATCAGCAAAACTTCAAAACTATATACTTTGAAATTAAACATTGAAAGGAGAAATTAGTATTAGGAAAGCGTTAGAACAGCCATGGGAGAAGACCTAGGACAGAACAAAAGGAAGTACACATTCCTTCCTTGCTGTTTTATTCAGTAAAATGTGATATTCTTCTCTGTGCTGTGCCTGATTTTGTCTGTTTAGCAAAATGGGAAGACAATAATAGTTACCAGTAAATAAGTTTCTAAGAGTCACATTATTTATGAAATAAGTAGCATTTAAAAAATACTTCCCTAGTTCCCTACTACTTTGTAAACGAAGTGTGAGTTCCTGAGAGAGGTAGTCTCAGAGTCCTAAAAATAATGTCTTTCTTAAGGTAATCAAAGTCCATTAACATAACTTTTGGGGGAGCTGGCAGGAGAGGAAGCAGATAGCCAGATGAAAGTAAAGGCAAGAATCTGCTGTTGAAAATATGAGAGTCAACTGGGCTGGTGGCTCAGCCTGTGATCCCCGCGCTTTGGGAGGCTGAGATGAGTGGATTGCCCGAGCCCGCGGGTTCGAGACCCACCTGGGCAACTTGGCGAGACCTCATCTCTACAATAAATAAAAAAAAATTAGCCAAGCATGGTAGCGCGCGCCTGTAGTTCAGCTACTTGGAAGGCTGAGGCAGAAGGATCGCCGGAGCCCAGCAGGTCGAGACTGCGGTGGCCGGGAGCAGCCACTGCACTCCAGTCTGGGTGACAGAGTGAGGCTTCAACTCAAAAAAAAAAGAGAGTAAAGGAAATGTCAAAGAGTAATCCTGTAAGGACCTGGGTATTGAGTCTGTGGCGAATCCAAGCTCCAGGTCCCTCTCTCTGGTCTGCTTTGCCTTCTGCAGTGCTTAGGAGGTTCACAGACCGCCTCTCCACCCCCACCCTGAGGTCTTGAGCACACACCTCCTCTGTGGCCTCTCCCACCTTCTCCAATAACTCTCCTGCAATTCCAACTGTGGCTATTTCCCTCTTCCAATCTGTGAGGCTCTCCCAGGTGAAGTCTCTCTGTCCTTTGCTCCTATGCATCTTCAGCATTGAGCATAATGTTTAGTGCTTAGTAGGCACCTGGCTGTTTGAATTAATGTATGCATGAACACATGAATGGTTTACAAACACTTAAACACTAACCAAGCAAAATGGTGACTGCTATCTAAAGACACCCACAAAGGAGTTATGGAGAGTCAGAAAACAGAAAGTCTATATGGAGGAACATGAGGACCTATTAGGCCAGCATCAGTCGAGTAAATTGGGTAAATTATATTGAGAAAGGACATCTCAAAATGAGATAATGACAAGAATTACAAAAGCTGAATAGCCAGCTGTAAGACATTTGCTGTTGGTTGGAGACAAAAAAAGACAGTCAACTATTGCCATTAAAGAGACAAAATTCTACAGCCAGTTAGCGTGAGCCATTGGGGTCAGCAGACTTCCAACCTCAATGGAGTCAATTTGCAAAACGTCCCCATGTCCCACAGGCAATTCCCCAGCCTGCGCTGAATCCCAATACAATATTGTAAATGCTTCTGTTTACCTTTTGCCTCATTGTAGACAGCAGACAGTCTCGCTGTTGTCCTGCCTGTTGTTCCCTTCACAACACACATCTTCCCTTTCATAAATCACCTTTCTTAATAACTGCCTTGGTGAATACTTCCACTCCCATAACTCCAGCCTACCTAGCCTGCCTCACATGACAGGGAATCATAAAACACCTTTGGGTGGCAGTATGGGAAGGTTAGGAGGGTTTCTAACCCCAATGAATCATGAGCACAGTATGGAAGCATCTGAGGACATGGTACAAATGGGGACTCTTAAACGGTCTGATGATGGTGCAGTGGAACTGAGCCTGGGAAGGAGTCTGGGGCCAGGTTACAAATCACCTTGGGATTGCTAAGGAGTGGAATGTTAAGGAGTGATCAGGATGGCCTGGAGGGACAGGCTGTGGACTCCGCTGTTGGCTGGACTGCCACCACATGCTTGCTACCTGGCCTTACGCAGATTGTCAGCCCCTGTATCTCCCTTTCCTCATCTGTAAAATGAGGGTAATTCTAGTGCTGATGTGAAAGGGTAAATGGAAAAGAAAAGAGAGTGGCACTGTGAGCATAGTAGGGAGGCCTTCCAGTCAGCCAGAACTTAACACAGTGTCTGCCTATGATGGATATTTAATAAATACAGGCGGTGCCCAAAATATGTATACACATTGTAAGTGTGCTGTCACTCAAAAGATGGCATTCGTCAAATGAATGCTAGTGTCACCATGCAACAGGCAGGACAGCCAAAGAAAATGGTGGAAAAACAGTTGAGCGAATGTCATATGACACATCGCTACTGTAATTCAATTTACCTTTGAAAGGTAATGCATAGATAACATCTCTTAAAATGCGTATACTTTTTTTTTTTGAGTTGGAGTCACTCTGTCGGCCAGGCTGGAGTACACTGGCACGCTCGTGGCCACCGTTGCCTCAACCTGCTGGGCTCAGGTGATCCTTCCACCTCAACCTTCCAAGTAGCTGGAACTACAGATGCACACCACCACGCCTGGATAATTAAAAAAAAAAATTTATTTTAGAGACGAGATCTCACTAAGTTGCCCATGCTGATCTTGAACCCCCGGGTTTAGGCAGTCCTCTTGCCTCAGCCTTCCAAAGTGCGGGGATGAAAGGCATGAGCCACCACACCCAGCATGTGTATACTTTTTTCGGCACCTTTCACCCCGAGATGAATGAATGAATGATCCAAAGGAGAGATGCTGAGTGTCTAGGATTGTAAACTAGGAAAGTGACTGTGAGAATGAACAAGTTAATTTTGCTACTTGCTCTTAGCTCTGAAAGAGGTTTGGATGAGAGAAGTTTGAAACCTTAAAAAATAATTTTGTTTTTTTAACCTATGTTTTACCTATGTGTATTTCAACTATTAGTCTAAATTAACTTTTAAAAAGCTTGTAATAATAAATAATATTACTTATAAAATTATATTTTGAATTTGAAGAGGAAACTTTAGAAAAGATTATGTTTAAAAACAGTTTGGAGAAATTCTTTGTGCTTTATGATGCTTTGCTTTTGTCTGTTTTTTTCCTTCTGTTTGTTTGTTTATTTAAGGATGTTTCCTCTTGCCTTTCACAGCTGAACACTTTCCAGGCAGTTTTGGCATCTGATGGATCTGATACTTATGCCCTCTTTCTTTATCCTGCCAATGGCCTTCAGTTCTTTGGAACCCGCCCCAAAGAGTCTTACAATGTCCAGCTCCAGCTTCCTGCTAGGGTGGGCTTCTGCCGAGGGGAGGTCGGTGACCTGAAGAGAGAAGGACCATATTTCAGCTTGACGAGAACTGAACAGTCTGTGAAAAATCTCTACCAGTAAGTACCACGAAGCCAAAGCCATTCCTATTTGACTATAAGGATTCTTAGGAGATACCCAAACACAAGGCCATTAAATAATATCTTGGTGGCTTCCAAACAAGGCACCAGTTCAAAACTAGAAACTAGATTAGACCCTGGGAAGATAAAGTTCATTAACATATAAAAGATCCTTTCTTTTTCCTGTCCTATGGGGTATAGATACCAGAAACAGAGCAGTATATATGTGTTTTTGTAGAGCCACTGAGGCTTGCTATGAAAAACATTGCTCTTGGAACCACATGAAAATAAATATTCAGTAATATAACAGCCCAGTTTGAGGTTTTTCAGATTAATCATTTCACAGGGGAAACATTGTGATTTTGTCTTTTGGATAAATACTGTTAAAAATTAAATTAAGCGTCATGTAATTTGAAAAGAAAAAAAAACTAGATTGGATTGGTAGGTTTTTGGAAATCTCAGAATTCCTCTCTGACTTCATTACCTGAAATGAATCGAACCCATTCCTTTGCCCTATCAGCGGCCTCCTTTGGTATTGCAATAATAAGCCAGTCTGCATTTTGTGGGTCCTGATAGTGCCAGCAGGATATTTATTAACTTCAGCGCTTGGGGTGAGGGGTAGGGTTGCTCTTGCTTTTATTCCTTTCTTGAGTACAGACACCAGATAGAACACATTGGTTACTTTGTGGCCTCCCTTGACTGCTTCTCAGTTTCATTAAGTCATTCCTGTGCATAGGAACACTTCACACTTTCACATGCTGTCCATTCTGCTCGGCTACCAGAGGGGGGCCACAACAGCCAGATTTGGTTACTAAGAGTTGACATTTATTGAGAGCTTAATATTTGCCAAGCATTGTGCTGAAACACTTTCCAGATGTTACCTTAATTGAAACTCACAAGAATTGTAGAAGGTAAGTACTACTATTTTCTCAGTTTTACAAAGGAGCTTAGGGAAATTCAGTATGCTGCCTAAGATATCAAAGTTAAGTGGCATAGACAAAATCCAAGCCCAAGTCTGGAGCTCTGAACTAATTTTGTACTGAGTCCCTGTCTCCTTTCCACACTAGGCATTTTCAGAGCTCCATCTAGGATGCCGCTTAGTCTAGATTCTGGAGCAAACTTAGCTCCTTGCTGTCTCTCCCCTGGTTTCACCCTCCTCTTCTACTTAGGAGCTCACAGATTCTCTGCTCCTCAGACAATGTGGAAAACCCACAGTGGCCCAACACTTGAAATACAAAGATTTCTAAGGCATACGTAGGCCCTGCACATGAGCACCTCACCTAGTTGAGTAGACAGACAAAGAGATCAGTTATGGAGCGTAGGAATAAGTGCTGACATTCACACAGGGAACAAACAGGAGGCAGTGGGGGCCAAAAAGCCTGTGGAAAAAGCAGTTGTGTTTCCCCACCAGAGCCATAAAGGCCCCTTAGAACTAATACCCACATGCGTGCGTATGTCACACACACACACACACACACACACACACACACACACACACACACATACACACAGAATTTCCATTTGCCTTGTTTTTATCTTTGATGTTTCCCAGAAATCTCTGACTAGCTTGATGAGAGCAGGTAAGATATAGGGCCAACTGACTGACAGATTTTTTTCTTTAGTGTAATCCATGCTTAATATGAAAAATAAAATAAAAAAAGCAATGCAGAATAATGAGAAATAAAAGTAAACATGACCCCTGATCACTCCTTCAAGTGATAATTAGTGTTTATAGTCTTTCCAGAATTTTAGGCATATGAAAACAAATTTTAAAACAAAAATGGTTCTTTTGCTATACATGTGACATTTTCACATTTATCACTTCTTGCATGGGTCTCTCAGTCAGATTTCTGTGTATATTTTCATTTTAAGGCTACAAACCATTGGATCATATATGTTATGTTTCATAAAGGCAAGATATTGATTAATATTTAACATGTTTCTGATATTTCTTGTTATAGACATTTTTGCAGCAAACAGTATAATACACATTGCTCACACATTCTCATTTTTTCTTAAAGTAAATTTGTTAAAGTGCAATTGCTGAGAGGATATGTACAGTTTAATGTTTTGGCATATATTAACTAATTGCCCTTCATAAATGTGGAAGCTATGTCCTCATCAATATATTAATAGAGCGTGATTGACAGTCTGTTTTCCATAAGCTTTTGTTCTTTTTACTATTTGCAAATCTGATATGTTTTCATGTTCAGAATTTCACTCTAATTTCTTTGATTACTAGTAAAACTGATCATGCACTGTATAATGGTATTCTGTTCAACGATGGACCATATATATGATAGTGGTTTCATAAGATTGCAGTGCTAGCCGGACTCAGTGGCTCAGCCTGTAATCCCATGCCTTGGGAGGCTGAGGTGAGTGGATTGCTTCAGCTCACGGGTTCGAGACCCACCTGGGCAACTTGGTGAGACCTCATCTCTACAATAAATCAAAAAAATTAGCCGGGCATAGTAGCACGCACCTGTAATTCCAGCTACTTGGAAGGCTGAGGCGGAAGGATCGCCGGAGCCCAGCAGGTCGAGGCTGCAGTGGCTGGAAGCGGCCACTGCACTCCAGTCTGAGTGACAGAGTGAGACACCAACTCAAAAAAAAAAAAAGATTGCAATGCTATGATTTTACTCTACCTTTTCTATTTTAAAATATACAAATACCATGATGTTACAATTGCTTACAGTATTCAGTACGGTAACCTGCTTTATAAGTGTGTCACCTCAGGGCAATAGGCCATATCTTATAGCCTAGGTATGCAGTAGGTTATACCATCTAGGTTTGTGTAAGTACATTCTATGATGTTCACACATGACAAAATCTCCTAATATGCATTTCTTAGAATGTATCTTCGTTATTAAATGACACATGACTGTATATGTCTTTTTTGTGTGTGTGGCTTGTCTGTCCACACCCATTTCTATTGGGATCTTTAGGAAGAGCTCTTATAAACAAGAAAAAATATAGTAAGGGTATTAATCCTTTCACATGCTGTGAATATTTATTTTACCCAATTGTTGTTTATCTTTAAACTTACTTATGGTTTAGAAGTTGTAAGTTTTGGGTTGTCAAAGTTCTTGGTCTTTCCTTGATAGTTTTGGGTCTTGTCATTCTTAGAAAGACCTTCTAGCCAGGCAAGGTAGCTCAAGCCTGTAATCACATCACTTTGGGAGGCAGACACAAGAGAATTGCCTGAGCCCATGGATTCAAGACCATTTTGGGCAACATGGTGAGTCCTCGTCTCTACAGTAAATAAAAAAATTAGCTGGACATGGTGTTGCATGTCTGTAGTTTCAGCTACTTGGAAGGCTGAAGTGGAAGGATCGCCTGAGCCTTGCAGGTCGAGACCGCAGTGGCTGTGAGCGTGCCACTGCACTCCAGCCTGGGTGACAGAGTGAGACTCCAACTCAAAAAAAAAAAAAAAAAAAAAAGACCTTCAATACTTTAAAATTATAGGGGTGTTCCTAAATAAAATCTTCTATTTTTCCTTTCATTATTTAAATGTTACAAATATACACAGTAGTGGAAAGACTAGTAAATGAATACCCAAATGCCCATTATGTAGACTTATACATTATAAACATTTTGCCATATTCATCTTTTCTTTTTGCTTAAACATTTTAAAGTAGTTCACACATCATGCCACCTCGTTCCTAAATACTTTGGTGTGTATCTCGAAAGGATAAAATTATTTTTCTGGTCAATGGAATCTTTCTCTTTCTCAAACTTGTCTCATAATTATATAATCATAATGCTTGTCATACTCTCCTGAAAATTTAAATATGAATGCCCACATGCATTTTTTTGCACATTTGATCTTCTGGAAGATGAGATAATTGTTACTAAGTACTTCCTATGGGGAAGACCTGTGGTAGGCATTTCATGTAGTTTCCTCATTTAATTCTCCTGACAAGCCAGAGAGGACGGCATTGCCATCCTATTTTGTAGTCCAGCTTTCCTTTCTAGGAAATCAAAAATTAAGTTATTTCTATCACTAAACCTTCCTTGGATTTGAAATAAATCAGGTTGGTTGCTCTCCCATTATGCATAGTGACAAAAGCCAGAATAGTGATTTATATCTGATTAGAAGGTTATTTTATTTGGCTTTTATCTGCCATAATTTGTATCTGGAACTTTTATAGTTTTCTGATTTCTTTTTTTTATTATTTAATTTTTTATTTTGAAGATGTGGGGTATGACTCAGGGTTAGGTATACAAATGTTCATTATGCAGGTACCCTTGTTGTTGATGGGGTATGCACCCACCCCCGGCAATTTTCCATAACTGCCAATCCCACCCCTCCTGCCCTGGCCGTTTCCAATTACTGCCAAACCCTTTCTACAGTTTTCTGATTTCAAGAGGAAATTTCATGGCTGTAACAACTGAAATGTGATAATAAACTCAATATCCTCAGAACTTCAGGACTTTCTCTTCTTTTGTTTTCCTCATTTGCTTGTCAATAAACTCCAACATTAATTATGAACTTACCAAATACATATAGCTTATTACACACAGGATCACAGTTTTGCTTTCTGTGCTTCTCTTTCCCTAAATCAACTACAATAGCAGCAACCACAGTCAGTGCACGTGCGTGAGAGAGAGATAAAGAGTGCGAGAGAAAGAGAGAGAGAGAGAGACTGAATTATAATGAAAAAATAGTACTCTTATAGAAACCCACATGAACATGAGTACCTAACCAAATGAGGAAAGGTCTTTTGTTCTTATATAATTCCGTGAATTTCTAATTGTCTTAGTAGTCATTAACACTTACTCTTTACTGATAGACTTTTGAGGAAATTCTGTAAAATGGGACAATTTGAGCATTGTATTTTGTACAAACATCACAGAAGTACACACATTGGTATATTCAAGCTAGCCAGACCCTTGTTTGCTCGTTTTCCCATGCTTTTAGAAATCTTTGTTCTTTTTGGAATGTACTGTTGACTCTAAAATAATGGATTATTAGGATATTTGGAAGACTGGATGGAATTCATGTTCTCTCATGGAGAAAACAAGTGAGCTGTTTCCAGATGTTTTGGGAACGATCTTTAAGCTACTTTCTTACTTTCCCCTTAACTTTGTTTTGCATTTGCTTAACATTTCTTTAGACTTGGGCATTTATATATATATATATGAAAGTTTTTACATAGATTCACCATTCTCTGTGGATTCATGAATTGACTAGTCCATGTGAATAGACAGTGAAATGTCTTTTTTTTTTTTTTTTGAGTTGGAGTCTTACTCTGTCACCCAGGCTGAATGCAGTGGCACCACCCCAGCATTCACCCACTGGGCTCTGGCAGTCCTTCCACCTCAGCCTTCCAAGTAGCTGGAACTTCAGGGCACGTGCTACCACACCTGGCTAATTTTTTATTTTTATTTTTTTTAATTTTTTTTTTTTTTTTTTGAGTTGGAGTCTCACTCTGTCGCCCAGACTGGAGTGCAGTGGCCGCTCCCGGCCACCGCAGCCTCGACCTGCTGGGCTCCTGCGATCCTTCCGCCTCAGCCTTCCCAGTAGCCGGAATTACAAGCATGTGCTACCACGCCCGGCTAATTTTTTGATTTATTGTAGAGATGAGGTCTCGCTGCCCAGGCGGGTCTCGAACCTGCGGGCTCAGGCAATCCACTCACCTCAGCCTCCCAAAGGCGCGGGATTACAGGCTGAGCCACCGAGCCCGGCTCTAATTTTTTATTTATTGTAGCAGACGAGATCTCACCAAGTTGCCCAGGCTGGTCTCGAACCATGGGCTCAGTCAGTCTACTCACCTCTCTGGGATTACAGAGCCACTGAAATGTCTTTAATATTCCATAGAGTAATGATGACTCAGATGCTGGTTGACTGTATTGGTTTTCTCACTTAATATAACTGAGATGTAGAGAATGGGCTTTTGTGTTAACATCGGATTCAGGTCCAGACCCTGCTAGTGACGAGTTCTGTGACAGTTAGATTAGTTAACTCTCTAAACCTATTTCCTTCTCTGTAAAGTTGGGTATGATCCTACACCTTACAGATTGTATTGAAGAATGTTAAGCACTTGGCACAAGGGCTGGCGTGTCACTAGCTCACGAAAACATAGCAGTTGTTAGGGTTTCAGTATTTGGCAAAGATTTTTAAGCGTACATTTTTATGAGGGTGTTATAAGCTTCTAGACAAGTAGAGGGAGGATAAAATATTCCCACACTCTCTATTTATTTATTTATTTTTGGTTTTTTGCTTTTTTTTATGAGTTAGAGCCTTGCTCTGTCACCCAGGATAAAGTGCAGTGGCTTGATCACAATGCACTGCAGCCTTGACCTTTTGGGCTCAGGTGATTCTTCCAACTCAGTCTCCTGAGTATCTGGGCCTACAGGTGCATGGTACCACCTTTACCTCGGCTTATGTTTCATTTTTTTGTAGAGACAAGGTCTTGCTATGTTGCCTAGACTAGTCTCTTAACTCCTGGGTTCAAGCAATCCTTCCACCTCAGCCTCCCAAGGTGTTTCGATGACAGGCATGAGCCACTGCACCTGGCTCCTATTTGTTTTTAAATAGCAAGACTTTAGGTAAGCCATTTGGGTTGTGGAACAGATTGATAACTTGGTTTGGCAGTCTACAGCACTTGTGAAACATAGCTTTGAATAAAAAGTATTTGCATCAAAAGTCCCCTGTGATCCTTTAGTTACCATGGAAGTCTGCAGTCTGCTTTTTTTATTTTGAGTAGGAGTCTCACTCTGTTTCCCGGCTGGAGTGCAGTGGCACTCTCACAGCCATCCCAGCATCGACCTACTGGGTTCAGGCGATCCTTCTGCCTCAGCCTTCCAAGCAGCTGGAACCACAGGTGCGCACCACCATGCCGGCTAATTTTTTGATTTATTGTAGAGACAGGGTCTTTCCGTGTTACCCAGGCTGATCTTGAACCTCTGGAATTAGGCAATCCTTTCACCTCTGCCTCCCAAAGTGTTGGGATTATAGGCGTGAGCCATGGTGCCTGGTGTAAGTCCGTTTTTATTTGTTTTTATACACCAGTGAAAACTCTGAATTTGATCTTTTACTTTTAAAATAAATTGCTCACTATTGTAGGAAGGTGAGTGAATGGACACTTTTGTTACAATGAACTGTTTTCTTTTTCTTTAGACTAAGCAACCTGGGGGTCCCTGGAGTGTGGGCTTTTCATATTGGCAGCACTGACCCATTGGACAATGTCAGGCCAGCAGCCGTTGGAGGCCTTTCCACTGCCCACGCTTCGGCCCCCCTGGAACATTCTTTCAGCCATGCTGCAGCCCTGGAAAGCGACTATACTGAGGACAATTTGGATTACTATGATGAGAATGAGGAGGAAGTTGAATACCCCCCGAGTAAACCAGAGGAGGCATCGAAAGGCCATGGCAGTATTGATGTTTCCTTCCATTCAAAAGCTGACACAGGGCCTGCAGGAGGTAGGATTGCCTCTCTAGATGTTGATCTGGCCTCCCCTTTGCCACACCCAACCCCTAAGGATAGGCCATTCTACTCTGAAATAGAATCTGCCACTTTGGACCCTCACACCAAAGAGAAGGCATCGCCAGGAGAGGCAGAGGCTCCAGATACAAAACAAGTTGTCCCTTCGGCCCGGACAGGGACCAGAAGCCCAGCTCTATCGGAGGTAGATGGAGATTCCCTGGCTCCTTCCCGGGAATCCCTGCCCGCCTACCCTGAAAACAAAAGCATCCAGCCTGACCCAGATGGAGGGGCAGTGCCTTCAGAAACCAATGTTCCTCCAGCCCATCCTGAAGAAGAAGCCGTTCTTCCAAACTACCCTGTGCCGAGTCATATTACCCCTGTGAATCGAGGGAGGTATGAGGTGGGAGTGGAAGATGACATCGGTGCCAACACTGAGGGTGAGTGCATTCGAAAACCGGATGCTTTAAAAGCTTTATCAATTTTTTAAGTCTTTTTTGATATCAAAACTATTCTCTTATGAAGCATAATCTATTGTCATTCTTGTCATTTAGTCTTACAAAAAGAAATCTTTAAAAAACACTATATAATCAAAAATGAAATAGAAAATACATTGTTTTATGATACAAAAAACAAAAAACAAACAAAAGATGGGCGCTGAGATCTCATTTTCACAATGCTGGTGTTGCGTAGAGTGGTGACTTTTCTCTAAGTGAGTAGGTGAAAAGTTTAGCAAAAAGAAGACTGGAACCGATTTTTAATCCTTGGGTCTCAGGAGATAGAGTACATTTCTTTTGCCAAATAAATCTTGGCAGGCGGATTCTGTTTGGAATCTCTTGATCATTAATAATGTTTTTAAAAACGGGCCTCATGAAGTGAGCAGAGAGCTAGATTTCTCGTGCCAGCTATGCTCTCAAGTGTAATCAAGTATTTCAATTTGAAAGTTCAGCAAAGGTAAAACATTTTGAGGCTTCATGCACGTCCCAGTGATGGAGGTCTGAGTGCTTAAGGTTGAAGTGGTGAGTCGGTGCTGGCTCAGATGAACAGGCCAGATTCAAACTCTTAACAGACAGCCCTTGTGCCTTGCCTTGGTTAGGGAGCTGCGCTTGTGATATGTGTGAGAGAAGAGGGCCCACGGCGGGGAAGAACATGACTAGACCCCTGTGTCTGTTGCCACTTCTGTTCATGGCTGTGCAGCTGTGGCATGCACCTCCCTGGAGCCGTGTCCTCATTTCATGACTCACTGACAAGAGTGAGGGGCGAGGAGGGAGATGCCTAGAGCCAGCGGTGGTTAATTATTGCAGACACGGAGCCCAGGTGCATCCTGCTCTTCCTGGTTGAGACTTGTCATGGCTGCTCTCTTCCTTGTCAGGGATGGAAAGATGTGAATGGGAAACTGACCACAGATTCATTCCGTTTGCTCCAGGGACCGCTTATCTGACTTCTAACTGGAGCAAAGAGGTTGGGGTGACCGCATCTTTCTGAACCTTTGTTTTCTTCTACCTTTTCTGTTTCCTGTTTCTGTGGTGGCAAAAACATGCTGACCCAGCCAGGGGGGCCTTCTGGATGCTTCTGCTGTGGTATTGATCGCCAGGACTTTACTTGAAGTACTTATTTCAGAAGGGAAGAAAATATTTTGTAACTGACCTGACATTGTGTAAGAATTAAGAAGGCGAGTATTGGTGTCAGATTTTAGTTTGAATCCTGGCCGAATAAAAGTAGACGCATGTGTGTCCCAGCCACATTTGCTGGGTGACTGGAAGCAACTATGTCATTCCTAAGCCTCTGATTTCTCATAAGTGTATTGGAAGGATTCAGTGAGATCATGTGTGTGAAGTCTTGAATAAGCATCTGCAGGAGTTGGTCCTTAATAAACGGTGGCTGCTGTTACTAATTTTAGAAGATCTAAAACTGTGGGAATGGAGTAGAGGGTGATTAGAGCATGAAGAACATGCTTATAAAGAGTTTTGCCTTAATTTGCACCTAAGGGGCCATATTTCTGTAAAATTGTGAATTTTATTGGAAGGTTTCAGACCTTTCAGACCCTTCTGATAATCTCCGGAATTTTCAGGATGTGTTCCCTGGATCTAGGGACATTTTAAAGCCAAATATCAACAATTTTCACCAAGGGATTTTGAGGTAAAGATGCATTCCTGAATGCCCTTTTCACTTGCGAGTTGTGATTTCCTGCTCTGGAAGGAGCATGGGAATATTAAGCAGCAGGTCATGGAGTCATCTGTTAAAGAGGTAAGAGGGGACTGCATGCCCTGCTTCAGTCTGTGGAGTTTGAAGTGGCTGGAGTAGAAAGAGACTTAAGGAGGCTTAAGGAACTGGCTAGAGGGAAGAACAGAGCCGCAGCCATGACCTTGGAGGGGCATGAACTATATGACATTAACGGCTGCTGCATGGGGTCTACTCCCAACATTTTGGAAGTGGCAAAATGCCTGTGAAAAAGCTGGTTAACACACTGAGACATTTAGAAAAAAAATCTAACTAGTTTTGAATCTTGGAGAAGGTTCAAAACAATTTTTTTTTTCTGTTTAAAGGGAAATTTAGGGAAATGTGTGAAGTATGGAAACATGCAATTGTTAAATACTTTTGTAGGGGGGCAGTGAACCATTTTTTTCAAAAAACACTGGAGTCCCAGAGGCCCATCAGTTAAGTGTGGATTCTCTCTGTGAAGCCATGGGATGGGCATGGCAGAGACTCACACAGAACCCAGGTGCTCAGTGTCCAGCCATGAGACATCACCTGGCTTTTTCTACTGATGGAAGAGAAAGTGCATGATTTTGATGGTAGGTAGACTTAACTTGATTCCCAGGTCGGCTAAGAAGTTTGGGGCAAGATGTTTACTCTGTTTGACCCTTGATTCCCTTAGCTGTAAAAGAAGATGAATACAGACCCCCATAAAGTGCTTGCGAGAGCTGAATTGGGCATGGGAGACTCCGTGCATGATAAATGTTGGTTTCCCTTGTAATCTTCATTGTAGTCATCTTGCTAAACCAAGAAATCAAGATTTTGTTCAAGGCCCAGAAAAATCTGTTTTTCTTTGAATTTTTTCCCCCAGGGACTCTTTTTACAGACTTTTCTCTTCATTCAGAAATCTAGATCCTTTTCAGATTGTGTCTGCAACAGGCAGAGATGTCCCAGTCACACTTTCATTCTGTCTTCATAGACCACAGAGTCAGCACAACAATGTTGTGTAAGCATCCTTTGTGTTTCCAGGGAGTTCCAGTAGTTTTGCTGTCAAGCCAAAAAGTTACTCAAGCACCTGACACGTGCCTTTCTCCGAACGAGAGAAAGCAAATACCTCCACCAGAAAGGCTGGTGGAGGTATTTGCTGGCATTTGCTGAGTACTTCTTGCTACTCTGAGTGGGAATTTGGCTTTAGAGTGCACTATTGTGGTGAGCCCTCCTAGCTGCCCTGTGAGGTAGCTGCTATCACCTTTCCCATTTTACAGGGATGGAAACCAAACCTGGAAATACTTAGTGACTTGCCAAGTCAGAGGCAGGTCAAGCCTGAAACAAAGCCACAGAGAATTAGAGAAAGCTGTAAGGTGGCAACACAGAGAACCAGGGCGCTATTTGTGAGGGTTACCATAGTTGGGGAAGTCCTTGAGTCTGAGGGTCTCTCTTGAACCAGACCTTAGGGTCAGAGTCTGAGTGAAGAGAGAAAAAAAAGTACGAAGACATTCTGAATAGAGGAGTGACAAGAGTGGAGGTATAGAGGTAGGAATGGGGAGGGAAGGAAGAAGAAGGAGAGAGAGAGACTGAGAGATAGGGAGAGAAAGTTTGTTGAAGAGGTGGGAGTGAGGGAGTTGCCAGTGAGAACTTCAGCTGACCAGGGCCAGGGACGGCCTATGCTGTGAGTAGCCAGGAATGGGGGTCTCAGATATTTTCTCTTTTTTAAAATCTCTCTTGATTGTTTATTGAAAAAACTGGGTAATGATAACAATTGAGGCTGGGGATGGTAGCTCAAGCCTGTAATTCCAGCACAATCCTCCCAAAGGAGGCCGAGGTGAGAGGATTGCCTGAGCTCAGTGGTTCGAGACCAGCCTGGGCAACTTGGTGAGTCCTTGTCTTTACGATATATCAAAAAGAATTAGCCGGGCGTGGTGGTGCGCTCCTGTAGTTCCGGCTACTTGGAAGGGTCACCTGAGCCCAGCGGGTCAACACTAGGGTGGCTGTGAGCATGTCACTGCATTCCAGCCTGGGTGACGAAGTAAGACTCTGACTCAAAAACAAAACAAAACAATTGAGACTTGAGTCTATCACAGGTGTTTGAGAGACAGGGTCTTACTTTGACCAAAAAGTGACCCATCATGTTTGTTCAAGACAGTCAAACATAAGATACTATCACTGAAATGAAGTGACTTGAGTTCTATTTTCAGAGAGGGTACAAACATCTCTTGTCACCATAGAGATTTTTGTCTTGTTTTACATTATTTGTAAAAATTGATAGACTGCTTTAAAAATTTTAGAGAAATATGAAGATTGGAAGGGAATATATCGTTCTTTTCATTATAATGCTTTCAAAATCAGGATAATTTTATGATCCACAGATAAACAGCAAAAAAGTCAATCTAATCACAATGGATGTTTAGTTTCTCAGTGCTCAATTTATCCAATTAGTATCTGTGACAGTATTTGGTATGTGATATGAACAGAATGACCAGATTGTTCACAACACAATTAGTTTTATCTGACAATATATCTTATTTTTAGAGATGTTATTACTAATTTTTGTTAAATATAGGTAATATCTGCTTAATTGATCCTATTTATTTCCATTCTCCTTTTAGAAAGTCATATTTTTTCTTTAAATTTTAAAGATGTGGTGTACAATTCAGGGTGAGGTATACAGATGGTCATTTTGGTAAAGTTTGGACCTTGCTTTGGTCCCCACTTCACCTGGTTTGAGATCAGGTACCCTTATTAATAAAGTGTGCCTCTCTCCCCTGTCAGTTTCCCACTACTGCCAATCCCTTTCTTATAGTATTATGATAATTGTTCAGGGTCTGCTTATGAGTGAGAACAGGTGGTACTCAGTTCTTTGTTTCTGTGATAGATCACTCGGTATTATAGACTCTAAGTCCATCTAAGTTGCTGCGAAGTTCTTAATTTTGTCCTTATTTGTGGCAGCATAATATTCCTTCGTGTATATGTACCACATTTTTTTTCTACCCAGTCCTCTTTTGATGGGCAGTACAGTTGGTTCCATGCTTTTGCTATTGTGACTAATGCTGCAATAAACATGCATGTGCAGGTATCTTTTTCATAGAGTGATTTGTGTTCCTCCAGGTATATTCCCAGAATGGGGATTGTGGGGTCATATGGAAGGTCAATATTTAGATCTTTTAGGAATCGCCACACTGTTCTCCACAGAAGCTGTACTAGTTTACACACCCGCCAACAGTGTAGAAGTCTTCCCTTTTCACTG